TTTCTTAACAGTCTCTGGTGCGGCACTCTATCAAAAGTCTTGCTAAATTCTAAATAAACAATATAGAATTCTTTATCATGGTCATCGGACTCAAAAGCTTTACTGAAGAAGGTTAATAAATTAGTTAGGCAGGAACGGCCCCTCGTGAATCCATGCTGAGTATCAGTAATCAAGTTATGCTTATCGAGATGGCTTCTTACATTATCAGGTATAATTGACTACTAATTTGCCTACAATTGAGGTTAGGCTTATTGGGCGGTAATTTGACGGTAACGACTTGTCAACTGCTTTAAAAATAGGAATTACATTAGCCATCTTCCACATATCAGACACTACACCTGTTTGAAGAGAAATATTAAAATAGTTAATGGTTCACAAAGTTCCATTTTACACTCTTTAAGAACCCTTGAAAAAAGTTCATCATGGCCCGGAGATTTATTTTGCTTTAACCGGTCTATTTATTTGATAACCAATTCGGTAGTGACTGTGATATTACATAATTTATCATCATCAGGCCAACTATAAAAATTAATTACTGGGATATTGTTAGTGTCTTCCTGAGTGAAAACCGAGAGAAAATAATTATTAAGAATAGAGCACATTTCATTCTCCTTGTCAGTGAGATGCCTAGAGTTATTTTAAAGGGGGCCTATCTTATCTCTAATTTTTGTTCTATAAACCTGGAAAAACTTTTTGGGTTAGTTTTCGAATCTCTAGCAACTTTAATTTCATAGTCCACTTTAGCTTTTCTTATCCCCTTTTTAACGTCCCTCTTAATATACTGATTCATAAGATGACCCTCACCTCTTTTGATGCGCCTATAAATTCCTTTTTCCTGTCCTAAAAGATATCTGAGCGTATTATTCATCCATTTGGGGTCATTTTTATTCGATCTAATGACGCAGCTGTGATGACTGACATCATACCCGTCTAATTATGATGCAGCTGTGATGATTGACATCATACCCGTCCCATTATGACGCAGCTGTGATGATTGACATAATACCCGTCCCATTATGATGCAGCTGTGATGACTGACATCATACCCGTCTAATTATGATGCAGCTGTGATGATTGACATCATACCCGTCCCATTATGACGCAGCTGTGATGATTGACAATACCCGTCCCATTATGATGCAGCTGTGATGACTGACATCATACCCATCTAATTATGATGCAGCTGTGATGATTGACATCATACACGTCCCATTATGATGCAGCTGTGATGAATGACATCATACCCCGTCCCATTATGAGCAGCTGTGATACGGGAAATATCATACCCGTCCCATTATGACGCAGCTGTGATGATGAACATCATACCCTCCCATTATGATGCAGCTGTGATGACTGGAATCAAACCCCTCTATTAGATGAAAGCTGTGATGATTGACATCATCCCCTTCCCTTTAATGATGCAGCTGTGATGATTGGCATCATACCCGCCCCATTATGATGCAGCTGTGATGATTGACATCATACCCGTCCATTTATGATGCAGCTGTGAATGATTGACATCATACCCATCCCATTATGATGCAGCTTTTGATGATTGACATCATACCCTCCCATTAATGAATGCAGCTGTCATGACTGACATCATACCCCCCATTATGACGCGGGCTGTGAGATTGACATCATAACCCGTCCCTTAAAATCCCAGCTGTGATGACTGACGTCATACCCGTCCCATTATGATGCAGCTGTGATGACTGACGTCAACCCGTCCCATTATGAATGCAGCTGTGATGACTGACATCATACCCCTCCCATTATGAGGGCAGCGTGATGACTGACATCATACCCCTCCCATTATGATGCAGCTGTGATGACTGACACCATACCCCCCCATTATGAGCAGCGTGATGACTGACATCATACCCGTCCCATTATGATGCAGCTGTGATGACTGACATCATACCCGTCCCATTATGATGCAGCTGTGATGACTGACATCTTTACCCGTCCCATTTATGATCAGCTGTGATGACTGACATCATACCCGTCGCATTATGATGCAGCTGTGATGACTGACATCATACCCGTCCCATTATGATGCAGCTGTGATGACTGACATCATACCCGTCCCATTATGATGCAGCTGTGATGACTGACATCATACCCGTCCCTTTATGATGCAGCTGTGATGACTGACATCATACCCGTCCCTTTATGATGCAGCTGTGATGACTGACATCATACCCGTCCCATTATGATGCAGCTGTGATGACTGACATCATACCCGTCCCATTATGATGCAGCTGTGATGACTGACATCATACCCGTCCCTTTATGATGCAGCTGTGATGACTGACATCATACCCGTCCCATTATGATGCAGCTGTGATGACTGACATCATACCCGTCCCATTATGATGCAGCTGTGATGACTGACATCATACCCGTCCCTTATGATGCAGCTGTGATGACTGACATCATACCCGTCCCATTATGATGCAGCTGTGATGACTGACATCATACCCGTCCCATTATGATGCAGCTGTGATGACTGACATCATACCCGTCCCATTATGATGCAGCTGTGATGACTGACATCATACCCGTCCCATTATGATGCAGCTGTGATGACTGACATCATACCCCGTCCCATTATGATGCAGCTGTGATGACTGACATCATACCCGTCCCATTATGATGCAGCTGTGATGACTGACATCATACCCGTCCCATTATGATGCAGCTGTGATGACTGACATCATACCCGTCCCATTATGATGCAGCTGTGATGTTTGGCCACTTGAGAACATTGCTAAATTTTATTAATTATAAATGAATCTAATTTGTGTAATCGTGAACTACTAATTATATTAATATCAATACTTTTTATGAAGCTTGACATAATTATATTTCTCTCAACCATAGACTTGCCTTTCGAAAATTAATCTGATGGTTATAATCTTTTAGATGAATAATCAGAGTACTAGACTCTTGTCCAGTTCTACTGCTACTGTTATATTTATGTTATAATTATCAGAGTATTACACTTTTGTCCAGTTCTACTGCTACTGTTATATTTATGTTATAATAATCAGAGTACTAGACTCTTGTCCAGTTCTACTGCTACTGTTATATTTATGTTATAATAATCAGAGTACTAGACTCTTGTCCAGTTCTACTGCTACTGTTATATTTATGTTATAATCTTAGTTCCAGACTTTTCCCAGTTTGACCACAATAAATATTGTCATATTTTTTACATTGATTTTTAATCGGATTTTTTAATGTATCAAGGTTTTTAAATGCAACTTTGATTTCATGGTAAGAGAGAACTATTGTATTTCTGTAGTTTTAAAGGATTTGTCATTTAAATAATTTTTGGTATTTTAGATCATTAGCTGTTTCATAAATATTCAAGATTTCTTCATCAATCAACTCTGTGTTGGAAATACTTAAAATTCTCAAAAACATGGTTGAAAATATAAAATATTTAACTCTGCTGTGATGTGAAGAATTATAGTTATTTTTTGGTTTTCTGTGTATTTTTAATTTAATATTATGGCTCCCCTTAATTTATTAAGACGTATAAATAAGGCAATGACTTATTTTACTCAAACTTAAAATAATTTATAGAATGAGCTAGATTATTTAATGTAAGAAACAAATGGTTTATAGTTGTATTCTTAGACATTAGAAGTAAAACATCATCAACATATCTGTATCACTTAGCTTCATCAGAAAGGATTTTGTTAAGTAATCTTGTTTCATAATGTTTCCTGTACAGATTGCTCAGCACAGGTGGTAGCTGTTCCCATTGTCATAACAAACGTCTTCAAACACAAACTTTGCATTAACATGTTTAATATTCCTTTTTTTTGCCATAAATTAGTGGAAATCGATCTGACCATTACGAATAAATATATATATATAATTTATATTAAATAAGAATAAATAAATTTAAATTAGCCTATAATATATAAATACCAGAAATTAGATTAAAAAAATGTGGTAGTTTCAATTAACACAATTGTTTAGCTAAATTCTTGTATATATTTTATAGGCTGAGGTATCGAGTCCCATCCTTCCCTCCACATTCTGTTCATCTGAACTCTGACTATTGTTTTCCTCCTGATGTGGCTGTACAACAGCTCTGGGTCAGATTTGGCTTTCAGTGCTGTCATTCTCGTACTGTTGCTGGAGCCTCCGTTCATATCTATGCATTTTCGTTTCTGGCTCTTTAGCTCATCTTATTTTCCCGGGTCCTTTGTCTTCTATACATTTTCTATGTTCTAGTACACTTAGCCTTGGCCTCTCTATACCTCTGGGTGAACCAAGGACTTGTTCTGGCTTCCCTTTTGGTTATGTTGCCCTTGAATTCGAACTTCTCCTCTGCTTCCCTGTACTTTATGGCCAAGTTTACCTGGTTTATCTGGAGAAGGTTTCGGGGGACAACGCCCCGCACAGTCTGATCAACCAGGCTGTTACTGCTGGCCGCACGCAAGCTGACGTACGACGCACAGCCCGGTTGGTCAAGTACTGACTTTAGATGCCTGTCCAGTGCCTTCTTGAAGACAGCCAGGGGTCTATTAGTAATCCTCCTAATGTATGCTGGGAGACAATTGAATAATCTTGGTCCCCAAACACTTATTGTTAGTGTTCCATCTTTTCATTTACTGTTTTCTTACCTACTGCACCTCTAATAGGAATTGCCTCATACCTGTGTATTTTTGTAGTTTGCTGCTCCCATTCTTCTCCTGCTTTAACAAGACTGTGTCTGTGAAGACTAAACAGTTTTGGCAGAGGACCAATGACAGGGTTGTCTGACATGGTCCTCGGCTCACCTGTCTTTCACTGTATTTAGTTCCAGTAGTCGGCCATCTATATTGACACTTAATTTACCTTAGCACTTTTACATCCCATTTCATTCCTGTAGGAATCTTTCACTTTTGTCGCCACTGAAAGCTCTCAGTTGCAGCATATTTTGGTTCATTTATCACTAGGGACACACACCTCAGGTAACGTACAACATTCTTCCCCAGGGAGGTGTGAAGGCGGTAGTATACACTGACGTGCTACAGACATGTGTCATGTTCCTGGGAGTGTTGGTGGTGGTGGTGATCTCCTGCGTCGACCTGGGAGGTGTTGGAGCAGTCTGGAACAAGGCACTTCAAGGATCAAGGATAGAATTCTTCAAGTGAGGCCATAAATTACTCACTCTCGTTATAATAAGTCGTAATCAGTGTTGAGAGATCAGAGCTTCTCGCACTTTATGTCTCTTTCTATGTTTACTGATTATTTTAATTTTGTGCAAGCGTATGCGCTATTTTAGCGTCCTTGAGTTGATTTAGAATCATTTTACATTATATTTTTTTTCGAAACCTTGCTATACTATGTATACATTATATATATAATAATATTATATATATATATATATATATATATATATATATATATATATATATATATATAATATTATATATATATATATATATATAATATATAGCTTCTTTTAACAAACCGGCAGTATCCTGCTGAGGTAGTGTGGCTCAAAAAAGAAAAACGAAAGTTTTGCTTAAATTTAGTAATTTATTCAGGAGAAGGGGATACTAGCCCCTTGCTCCCGGCATTTTAGTTGCCTCTTACAACACGCATGGCTTTCAGAGGAAGAATTCTCTTCCACTTCCCCATGGAGATAAGAGGAAATAAACAAGAACAAGTAAGAACGAGGAAAACCTAGAGAGGTGTGTATATATATTGTTGTACATGTATGTAGTGTGACCTAAGTGTAAGTAGAAGAAGCAAGACGTACCTGAAATCTTGCATATTAATGAGAGAAAAGACACCGGCAATCCTACCATCATGTAAAACAATTACAGGCTTTTGTTTTTCACTCACTTGGCAGGACGGTAGTACCTCCCTGGGTGGTTGCTGTCTACCAACCTACCACCATTTTGGCGGGGTAGTAGGATTGGTTTTGGTGGGGGTGGCAGCCGTGGATTTTGTGGGAGTAGTAGCAGTATTTTTGGTGGGAGTAGTAGCAGTGGTTTTGGTGGGAGTTGTAGCAGTGGGTGTGGTGGGGTGGAAACAGTCGTTTTGGTGGGGGATGTAATAGTGGTTTTGGTGGCAGTAGTAGCAGTGGTTTAATTGGGGGTAGTGGCAGTGTTTTTGGTGGGGTAGTAGCAATGGTTTTGGTGGGGATAGTAGCAGTGGTTTTGGTGGGGGTAGCAGCAGTGGTTTTGGTGGGCGTAGTAGCAGTATTTTTGGTGGGAGTAAGTAGCAGTGGTTTTGGTAAGGTAGTAGCAGTGGATGTTGAAGGGTAGTAGCAGTGGTTTTGCTGGTAGGTGGTTGCAGTGGTTATGGAGAAGTAGCAGAGGTTTTGTGGGAAGAAGTTGCAGTGGTTTTTGGTGGGGATAAGTAAGCAGTTGATTGTGGTGTGTTGGTAGCAATGGTTTTGGTGGGGTAATACGGAAGTGGTTTTGATGGGGGACGTAGGAGTGGTTTTGGTGGGGTACAAACAGTTGTTTTGGTGAGGGTAGTAGCACTGGTTTTGGTGGGGGAGTAGCAGTGGTATTAGAAGAGGGGGTAGAAGCAGTGGTTTTGAGGGGGTTTGGCAGTGGTTTTGGCGGGGAAGGAGCAGTTGTTTTCTTGAGTGTATCAGCAGTGGAACTGGTGGGACGAAGCAGCAGCAGTGGAACTGGTGGGACGAAGCAGCAGCAGTGGAACTGGTGGGACGAAGCAGCAGCAGTGGAACTGGTGGGACGAAGCAGCAGCAGTGGAACTGGTGGGACGAAGCAGCAGCAGTGGAACTAGTGGGACGAAGCAGCAGCAGTGGAACTAGTGGGACGAAGCAGCAGCAGTCGTTTTTGTACGGGTGGTAGCATTGGTTTTGGTGTAGCTGGTAGCAGTGGTTTTATTGCGGTGGTAGCATTGATTTCGGTGGGTTGATAGCAGTGGTTTTGGTGGGGGTAGTAGCAGTGGTTTTGGCAGAAGGTATTAGCAGTGGTTTTGGTTGTGGGGTAGTTGCAGTGGTTTTGGAGAGGGTAGTAGCTGTGGGTTTGGTAGGGGTAGTAGCAGTGGTTTTTGTGGGGGTGGTAGCTGTAGTTTTGGTGGGGTAGTTGAAGTGGTTTTGGAGAGCATTGTAGCAGTGGTTTTGGTGGGGAAATATCAGTGGTTTTAGAGGGGTAGCTGTAGTGGTTTTGGTGGAGATGTAACAGTGGTTTTGGAGGGGTAGTAGTAGTGGTTTTGGAGGGGTAGTAGTAGTAGTAGTTTTGGAGGGGTAGTAGTAGTGGTTTTGGAGGGGTAGTAACAGTGGTTATGGTGTAGGTAGTAGCAGTGGTTTTGGTGGGGTGTTAGCAGCGGTTTTGGAGGGGTAGTTGCTGTGGTTTTCTTACTGAAGTAGCAGTGGTATTGGTGGGGAGTGGAAGCAATGGATTTGCTGGCAGGTCGTAGCACTGGTTATGGAGAAGTAGCAGAGGTTTTGATGGGGTAGTAGCAGTGGTTTGTAGGGGGTTGTAGCAGTGGTTTTGATTGGGTAGTAGCAGTGATTTTGGTGGGTGTGGTAGCTGTGGTTTCGTGGGTATTAGCAATGGTTTTAGTATGGAAGTTACAGTGGTTTTGGTGGAGAAATATTGCAATTGTTTTGTGGAGGAAGCAATGCTTTTGGTGGTTGTGGTAGCATTGCTTTTGGTTGGGTAATAGTAATAGCTTTGTTGGGTGTAGTAGCACTGAATTTGTAGCTGGTGGTAGCAGTTGTTTTGGAGGGGTGGTAGCAGAGATTGTGTTGTGAGTGGTAGCAGTGGTTTTCGAGGGGTAGTAGCAGTGCTTTCGGTGTAGAAGAAGCAGTGGTTTTGGTAGGGGTTAGTGTAGGTGTTGGTGGGGGTAGCAACAGTTATTTTTGGTGGGGTTGCAGCAATGGTTTTGGTGGAATTGAAGCAGTGGTTATGAAGTGGGTAGTAGCTGTGATTTTGGCGGGGTTGGAAGCAGTGGTTTAGTTGGAGTAGTAGCAGTGGTTTTAGTGGGGATTGCAGCAGTGGTTTTGGTGGGGGTGGTAACAGTTGTTTTGGTGGTGTAGTTGCAATGTATTGGAGGGCATAGTAGCAGTGGTTTTGGTTTGGGTCGTAGCAGTACTCACCTAGTTGTGGTTGCAGAGGTCGAGTCATAGCTCCTGGCCCCACCCTTTCACTGATCGCTACAGGGTCACTCTCCCTGAACCATGAGCTTTATCGTACCTCTGCTTAAAGCTATGAATGGATCCTGCCTGCACTACATCGCTTCCCAAACTATTCCATTTCCTGACTACTCTGTGACTGAAGAAATACTTCCTGACATCAATGTGATTCGACTGTGTTTTCAACTTCCAACTGTGTCCCCTTGTTGCTGTGTCCCATCTCTGGAACATTCTGTCTCTGTCCACCTTGTCAATTACTCTCAGTATTTTTTATGTCGTTATCATGTACTCCCTATCTCCCCTGTCCTCCAGTGTTGCCAGGTCGATTTCCCTTAAACTCTCCTCGTAGGTCATACCCTTAGCTCTGGGACTATTCTTGTTGCAAACCTTTACACTTTCTCTAGTTTCTGTACGTGCTTGGCTAGATGTGGGTTAGAAACTGGTGCCGCATACTCCAATATGGGCCTAATACACACAGTGTAAAGGGTCCTGAATGATTCCTTATTAAGAGGGCAGAATGCTATTCTTGGGTTTGCTAGGCACCAATATGCTGCAGCAGTTATTTGGTTGATATGTGCCTCAGGAGATGTGCCTGGTGGTATACTCACCCCAAGATCATTTTCGTTGAGTGTGGTTTGTAGTCTCTGACCCCTTAGACTCTACTCCATCTGCGGTGTTCTATGCCCTTCCTCAATCTTCATTACTTTTCACTTGGTGGGGTTGAACTCCAGGAGCCAGTCGCTGGACCAGGCCTGCAGCCTGTCCAGATCCCTTTGTAGTTCTGCCTGATCCTCGTCTGATTGAATCCTTCTCATCAACTTCATATCATCTGCAAACAGTGACACTTCGGAGTCTATTCCTTCCGTCATGTAGTTCACGAATACCAGAAACAAAACCGGTCCTAGGACTGACCCTTGTGGAACCTCACTCGTCACAGGCACTCACTCTGATACCTCGCCTCGTACTATGGCTCGCTGCTGTCTTCCTGACAGGTATTCCCTGATCCATTATAGTGCCTTCCCTATTATCCCTGCCTGATCCTCCAGTTTTTGCACTAATCTCTTGTGTGGAACTGTGACAAATGCATTCTTACAGTCCAAGAAAATGAAATCTACCTATTAACTTCTTGAGTAGAACTGTGTCAAAAGTCATTCTTCAGTCGAAGAAAACGCGATCTACCCACCCGTCTCTCTCTTGTCTTACTGCTGTCACCATGTCATAGAACTGCAGTAGGTTTGTGACACAGGATTTCTCGTCCTTGAAACCGTGTTGGTTGTTGTTGATAAGCTCATTTCTTTCTAGGTGTTCCACCACTCTTCTCCTGATAATCTTCTCCATGACTTTGTTTGATATATATGTCAGCGACTGGTCTATAGTTCACTGCTTCTTGTCTGTCTTCTTTTTTAAAAATTGGGACCACATTTGCTGTTTTCCATACCTCAAGTAATTTCCCTGTTCCGTTAGATGTGTTGAATATTGTTGTTAGGGGTACACATAGTGCCTTTGCGCTCCCTCTCAGGATCCATGAAGAGATGTTATCCGGCCCCATCGCCTTTGAGGTGTCTAGCTCGCTCAGCAGCCTCTTCCTCGGTTGTATGTATTGTGTCAAACACTTGGTGTTGTACCCCACCTCTCCGTCTTTCTGCGTTCCCTTCTGTCTCCTCTGTGAGCACTTCTTTGAATCTTATGTTGAGTTTCTCACATACTTCTCGGTCATTTCTTGTTGTCTCTCCTCCTTCCTTCCTTAGCCTGATTACCTGGTCCTTGACTGTTGTTTTCCTCCTGATGTGGCTGTATAACAGCTTCGGGTCAGATTTGGCTGTTGCTGCTATGTCATTTTCATTTTGTCGTTGGGCCTCCCTTCTTATATGTGCATATTCATTTCTGACTCTACGACTGCTCTCCTTATTATCCTGGGTCCTTTGCCTTCCATACATCTTCCATTCCCTAGCACACTTGGTTTTCGCCTCCGTGCTCCTTTGGGTGAACCATGGGCTCATCCTGACTTTTCATTATTCCTTTTACCCTTGTGTACAAACCTCTCCTCAGCTTCCTTGCACATTGTTGTCACATATTCTATCATCTCGTTTACTGGCTTCCCTGCCAGTTCTCTGCCCAACTGAACCTCGTTCAGGAAGTTCTTCATTCCAGCATAGTCACCTGTCTTGTAGTTTAGGCTTTATTCGTCCGGCTCTTCCATCTCCACCCTCCACTTGTAACTCTACTATGTATTCGAGTCTTAAAACCACATGGTCACTGGCCCCAAGGGGTCTTTCATATGTGATGTCCTCCATATCTGCACTACTCAAGGTGAATACTAGGTCCAGTCTCACTGGTTCATCCTCTCCTCTCTCTCTCTTGTAGTGTCCCTTATGTGTTGGTACACGAAGTTTTCCAGTACCACCTCCATCATCTTAGCCCTCCACGTTTCTTGGCCCCCTTGTGGCTCCAAATTCTCCCAGTCGATTTCCTTGTGTTGAAATCACCCATGATCAGTAGCTTTGCCCTGCTCACATTAGCCTTTCTTGCCATTTCAGCCAGTGTGTCAACTATAGCTCTATTACTCTCATCATACTGTTGCCTTAGCCTCCTGCAGCTCTGTGGTGGGTTATACATCACTGCAATTACCACTTTGGGACCTCCAGACTGAAGCGTTCCTACTATGTAATTCCTAGCTTCTCCACTGTCTCCTCTCCAGCTCATCAAAATCCCATTGGTTCTTGACCAGCAGTGCCACTCCTCCACCCCTTCTGTTCCCTCTGTCTTTCCTCAGGATCTAATATCCCGTTGGAAAGATGGCATCTGTTATCATACCTGTAAGCTTGGTTTCTGTGAGAACTATGATGTCCGGTGATGCCTCTTCGATTCTTTAGTGCCACTCCTCCCACTTATTTGTTATTCCATCAGCGTTTGTGTACCATACCTTCAGTTTCCTCTCCAACACTGTGTTTTGGGGGAGTCTGTGAGGGTGGTGGACCTTGCAATGTATTGTGGGATGCTATAGCTGAGTGTTGGGTGGGAGCTGTGGGTGTGGATTGGGGTTTGTGTTGGGATAGCATGATTGATTGTGGGGTTCTGGGGGTGGTTCTGTGTGTGCTTGCTCTTGTTGCTCTGCCCTGCTCTGGTTGTTCTCTGCTGATTCTGTCCTCTCTCCTCCTAGCTCCTTTCACTTTTTGTCCTCCTCATCTGCTGTCGTTCTGTTTGCATTCTGTCTAGGTCTAGGAACACCCTCTTGTATTCTGACGAGTCCTTCAACCATGGTTTTTCTTTGAGAATCCTGTTCTGCACTGTTTTTGTCTTGAAAATCAGCTTGATCGGTCGTGTCCTTCCCTTCAGATACCCTCCTATTCTCTGAAAATTTATAATCTCGGACATGTCCGCTTCACCTGTTACTGTGATGATGTTCTCAATCTCCTTTCTTTCTGTCAGCCACCTATCAGTGTGTGTCCGACCCTGGCTCTCCTGCAGCCCATGAATAAACACTGTCTTCGCCCTCTCCTCCTCCCATTGCCTTTCCATCTGCGACTCTGGTTCCTGTTTGTACATGACCAGTAGTTTTGGAGGGGAAGTAGTAGTGCATTTGGTGGATAAAAACTGTTGCTTTAGTGCGGGTAGTAGCAGTGGATTTGGTGGGGGACGTAGCACTGTTTTTCGAGGGGAGGCAGCATGGTTTTGGTGTGTGTAGTAGCAGTGGTTTCGGTGGGGGTAGAAGCAGTGGTATTGGTGGGGGTAGTAGCAGTGGTTTTGGTTCTGGGAAGGGTAGCAGAGACTTTGATGGGGTTTGTAGCAGTGGTTTTGCTGGGGGTAGTAACAGTGGTTTTGGTGGGGGTAGTAGCAGTAGTTTTGGTGGGGGTGGAAGCAGCGGTTTTGTAAGGGTAGTAGGAGTGGTTTTGGTGGGGTTTAAGTAGCAGTGGCTTTGGTGGATGGTAGTAGCAGTTGTTTTGGAGAGGTAGTAGCAGTGGTTTTTGGAAGGGGTAGCAGCTGTGTTTTTGGTGGAGTAGCAGCAGTGGTTTTGTGGTGGTAGTGCACTGGTTTTGAAGGGGAAGTAGCAATGGTTTTGGTTGTGTGGTAGCTGTGGTTTGTGTTGGGGGAGGTAGCAGTGGTTTTTTCAGGGGCGGTAGCAGTGGTTTCGGTAGTGATAGTTGCACTTGCTTTTGAGGGGTAGAATAACACTGGTTTTAGTGCTCTCTAGTGCACTGGTTTTCAGTGCTGGAGTGCACAAGTTTTGGTGCTGGTAGTGCCTGGTTTGTACTGGACCAGTAGTTTTGGAGGGGTAAGTAGTCATGTATTTGAGTGGAGTAGTAACTGTTGTTTTAGTGCGGTAGTAGCATGGTTTTGGTGGGTACGTAGCACTGTTTTAGGGGAGGCAGCACTGGTTTTAGTGTGGTAGTAGCAAGTTTTCGTGTGGGGTAGAAGCAGTTATTGGTGGGGTAGTAGCAGTGGTTTTGGTGCTGGTGAAGTTTTGGGCAGTAGACTGTTATGGGGTGTTGTAGCAGTGGTTTTGCTGGTAGTAACAGTGGTTTTGGTGTGGGGTAGTAGCAGTGGTTTTAGGTGTGGAAGCACAGTTTTGTGGGTAGTAGCATGTTTTGGTAGGGTAGTAGCAAGCTTTGGTGCTGGTAGTAAAAGTTTTGTGCTGGGTAGTAGCAGGTTTTGGTGTGAGTAGCACTGTTTTGGTGGTAGTAGCACAAGTTTTGGTGTGGTAGTAGCACAGTTTTGAGGGAGGTAGACCCAAAGGTTTATGTTTGGGTGTAGTACAGTGGTTGGTGCTGGAGTAGCAATTTTTTAGGCTGGTATAGCAGTGGTTTGGGTGTGGTAGTGCACTGGTTTTGATGCTGGGTAGTAGCACAAGTTTTGTGCTGGTAGTAGCACAGTTTTGGTGCTGGTAGTAGCACAAGTTTTGGTGCTGGTAGTAGCACAAGTTTTAGTGCTGGTAGTAGCACAAGTTTTGTGCTGGTAGTAGCACAGGTTTTAGTGCTGGTAGTAGCACAAGTTTTAGTGCTGGTAGTAGCACTGGTTTTAGTGCTGGTAGTAGCACTGTTTTAGTGCTGGTAGTAGCACTGGTTTTAGTGCTGGTAGTAGCACAAGTTTTAGTGCTGGTAGTAGCATAGGTTTTAGTGCTGGTAGTAGCACAAGTTTTGGTGCTGGTAGTAGCACAAGTTTTAGTGCTGGTAGTAGCACAAGTTTTAGTGCTGGTAGTAGCACAAGTTTTAGTGCTGGTAGTAGCACTGGTTTTAGTGCTGGTAGTAGCACAAGTTTTAGTGCTGGTAGTAGCATAAGTTTTGGTGCTGGTAGTAGCACAAGTTTTGGTGCTGGTAGTAGCACAAGTTTTAGTGCTGGTAGTAGCACAAGTTTTGGTGCTGGTAGTAGCACAAGTTTTTGGGTGCTGGTAGTAGCACAAGTTTTGGTGCTGGTAGTAGCACAAGTTTTGTGCTGGTAGTAGCACAAGTTTTAGTGCTGGTAGTAGCACAAGTTTTAGTGCTGGTAGTAGCACAAGTTTTAGTGCTGGTAGTAGCACAAGTTTTAGTGCTGGTAGTAGCACTGGTTTTAGTGCTGGTAGTAGCACAAGTTTTGGTGCTGGTAGTAGCACAAGTTTTGGTGCTGGTAGTAGCACAAGTTTTAGTGCTGGTAGTAGCACAAGTTTTAGTGCTGGTAGTAGCACAAGTTTTAGTGCTGGTAGTAGCACAAGTTTTAGTGCTTGTAGTAGCACAAGTTTTAGTGCTGGTAGTAGCACAAGTTTTAGTGCTGGTAGTAGCACTGGTTTTAGTGCTGGTAGTAGCACTGGTTTTAGTGCTGGTAGTAGCACAAGTTTTAGTGCTGGTAGTAGCACTGGTTTTAGTGCTGGTAGTAGCACTGGTTTTAGTGCTGGTAGTAGCACTGGTTTTAGTGCTGGTAGTAGCAGTTACTACAGTACAGTACTCAAGTAGTTGTACTTGGTTACTTTACAACACTGGTACTTACTCGAGTACTGAACACATGTACTCTCGGCAACACGCTCCTTTCCATCAGCCTAAAATATTAACAAAATTTCACTTTTCATCCGAGTTTTCTTTATTTTTGGTCAATCTTGTCTCATTAAAACCTTTGTGCTTACAATTTATGTGGTTGTACTCTGCTGGTTTTCAATTGTTTTTTTAAATCATAAGCACGTTAGAAAGTCCCATGAAAAAGTTAGCTGTTAGCATTTAGCGTTAGTTTCCACTAATTTTTAGGCTGTTTAGCGGTTTAGTGTTAGCAGAGCTAATTTTTTAGCTAGCGGATTAGCGGTTAGCGAAGCTAACTTTTCGTTTATCTTTGCCCACCACAGCTCTAGAGTTTTTCTTTATTTTCACAAGTCGTTTCTCGCTTGACTCTTTGGTCAAGGTAGTCATCAGGTTCCTCTCGTAGAAGCGTTTTTTTTTTTTTTTTGCTGAATGTCTATAGTTTATTATAAGTGAAGCATTCCTGATGTTACTTTTAATACGATTTATTTATTTATTTGAATCTCAATAAAGCGCTAAATTCGTGGGTCATTCATCGCAAGGAATAGTGGAGGGTCGATCTTTTGTGCTCTAATTAAACCGAAAGAGAATCACCATTCTCTCCATGGTGGAGAAGACTGTCTAAATGTCTTTGTGATAAATAATCAACCTGAGTTTAATGTTATATAAAAAATAATAATCAGTTTTATCTGTCCGCAGCCTGGATCCAACCCACTGATTGTTCACACGTTTTGGTCGTCAACAGCATTGGGGTTTCCACATATCTCTATACTTGCTGGCTTTCAACCAGTCATCTTTCCAGAGGCTTGTGTCTGTCAGTAACCTTCAAACATCAAAGAGGTAAGTAAATATCAAGCTGATCAAGACAAATCCTGACTGCAAGAATAGGCGGAGGGTCGAACATTAGTGGGTTTTGTGCTAAATGGTTCCACATGGTTTTGTAATTCACATTAAAAACTGAAATTTGACAATAAATAAATCCTAACCACTACAGTTAAGTGGAGAAGATTGCTATTACCTATAAACACAAATGTTAATGTGGTGACAGCCCAGCTGTGGAAGCCCGGATTTTAGAAATCTACTGCTATTTGTTGCTATAGTCTGTTCTGGCTATAATGTCTCATATGAAGTAATGGCTTCATTATGGGTTTGAAAATGTAAAGTCAATTAGAAGGGACATTCTTTAATAACCACATAAAGCCTCAAAGAAACTTTATTCATAAGATACTGTGTCTTGAAGGTAATTGAATGTGGTAATCGCAAATTATTACCTGAAAACTCAGTTTATTAGAAGTGTATTTGATTTATTAACTAGTTTGTATTGTATAACATTAATAACTTGTGTAACATTGTAACATGATGGTTTCTTGGTAACTGGACAGTGTTCAGCAACTCGTCTTCCTGTATGTAAGTCTCTGGAAAAATACTTTCGCCCAAGGATGTGAGAGAGTAGGGAGATGGATTGATTATATACAACTACGTGTCCACTACGTCTATTTCGTCTTCTACTAACGATTATGTCTCTAGGAGTGGGACTTATCTATGTATTCGACTGACGAAGTCTTCAGCACAAGTGAAATGTTCCATTAATGAAGATCCATAGTGTGTTTAGTGTTGTACTTGTGCTGTACTTATCACCGAGTCTGGCTCAAACTCGAAGAATTCTTTATGATTCTGTGTCGTAGTCAGCTTAAATTTATTTTATTTTATTAACATGTACCCCGTTTCCAACCAAGGTACGGTCGGCCAAAAAAGAAAAACTTTCCTCATCATTCACTCCACTACTGTCTTGCCAGAGTCGCGCTTACGCTTTAGTTATAAAACTGCAACATTAATATCCCACTACCAGACTGCAGACACTATACTTCCCATCTCCAGGACTCAAATTTGGCCTGCCGATTTCAAATTCCTTCACAAATGTTACTTTGCTCACACTCTAACAGCACATCAAGTCCTAAAAGCTATTTGTCTCCATTCACTCTTATCTAACATGCTCATGCATGCTTGCTGAAGTCCAAGCCCCTCGCACACAAAACCTCCTGTACCTCATCCCTACAACCTTTCCAAGGCTGACCCCAACTCCGCCTTCCCTCCACGACAGATTTATACACCCTCGAAACCATTCTATTTTGTTCCATCGTCTCTACATGTCCGAGAAACCTCACGCCCTCTGGACAGTGGTTTTCGGTAATCCCACACCTCCTCCTAATTTTCAAACTACGAAATCGCTGCATTATATTCACACTACACAATGCCCTCAGACAGGACATCTCCACTGCCTCCAGCCTTCTCATTGTTGCAACATTCACAACCCATGCTTCACATTCATAAGAATATTGGTACAACAATGCTCTCGTACATTCCCCTCTATGCTTCCATAGATAAAGTTCATTGTGCCCACAGATTCCTCAGTGCACCACTCACCTTTTTTGCGTCGTTAATTCTATGATTCACTTAATCTTTCATAGATCCATCTGCTGACACCTACACTTTTAAATATCTGAATACATTCACCTCCTCCATATTCTTTCTCTCCAATTGATATCGAATCTTTCGTTACCTAAATTTTTGTTATCCTCATCACCTTACTCTTTCCTATATTCACTTAGACATTTCTTCTTTAACATACCCTACCAAACTCATCCACCAACCTCTGCAACTTCTCTTCAGAAACTCCAAATAACAGTGTCATCAGCAAAGACCAACTATGACAACTCTAACTTTCTGTTAGATTCTCTCTTTTAACCCCAAACCTCTTGCCAACATCCGAGCATTCACTTCTCTTACAACCCCATCTATAAATATACTGAACAACCACGGTGACATCACACATCCTTGTCTAAGACCTCCATTTACTGGGAAATAATTTCCCTCTCTCCTACATACTCTAACTTGAGCTCCACTTTTTCCGTAAAACTCTTCATTTTGCTTACATATAATACCTCCTATTCCATACTTTTGCAACATCTACCACATTGCCCCCTGTCCACCCTGTCATACGCCTTTTCCAAATCTACAAATGCCACAAAACTTCTTTACACTCATCTAAATATTCTTCATCTATATGTTTCACTGTAAACACCTGGTCCACACACCCCCTACCTTTCCTAAAGCCTCCTTGTTCATCTGCTATCCTACTCTCGTATTACTCTTAATTCTTTTATAATAACTTTTACCATACACTTTACCAGGTATACTCAACAGACTTATTCCCTTATAATTTTTGTGCACTCTCTTTTGTCCCCTTTGCCTTTATACAAAGGAACTTTGCATGCCTCTGCCAATCCCTAGGTAACCTTACTTCTTCCATATTATATATATATATATATATATATATATATATATATATATATATATTATATATTATATATATATTTTATATATATATATTAATATATATATTACACTGATCTCTGGCTGAAGGAGGCTCGAACCTACGAACCCTTAGGACAAGGTACGTAGTGCTTTACCAATCTACCCACACTGGACAATACCTTGGCGTGTAGCTTGCATGCAGGGGATGAGATGAAAAGCTGTAAGCCTTCTCCCTGAAAGCTGGCAGCCTTGGATCAAAAGTGTAGCGCAAAACACACGCCAAAGGTATTGTTGTGTGGGTAGATTGGAAAAGCACTGCATACCTTTTTCCTAAGGTTCGTAGGTTCGAGTCTCCTTCAGCCAGAGATCAGTGTTTGTGTATATTTCGCCTGCTCTGCGAATTCCTTGCATTGTTAATATCTCTAGTAAGGCTGATGCATGCACGGGATGAGATTTAAAAACTGTAAGCCTTCTCCCTGAGCTGACTGCCTTGGATCAAAGTCTAGCGCAAGCTGGACTCCCAAGGTATTGGTCCAGTGTGGGTAGATTTGGTAAAGCATGCGTACTTGTTCCAAGGTTCGTAGGTTCGAGTCTCCTTCAGCCAGAGATCAGTTTTTTTTTATAAAATATATATATATATATTTTTATATATATATATATAAAAAATATAAAAAATAAAATATATATATATATATATATATATATTTTATATGGGTGTGTGTGTGTGTGTTGGTGTGTGCATGTGTGTATGAGACTGTCTAATATTTCTTTGTATTTCTCTGTACCTAGGCTGTGCCTCGCCTTCGGAGTGGGAGTGAACATTTTCTGTCTGCTATTTTACTTCGCTGGTGTAGTGACATATGCCACCTACAAGGAGTGTGACCCGCTTACCTCAGGAAGAATCACCTTACGAGATCAGATCCTGCCGTTGTTAGTGATGGACAAGATGCATCACCTCACTGGGTTGTGTGGATTCTTCGTGGCTGCAGTCTATGGTGGCGTACTTAGGTATGCTCTCCTTACGTGTGTGAATGATGGTGTGTGTGTGTGTGTGTGTACTCACCTAATTGTAGTTGCAGGGGTCGAGACTCAGCTCCTGGCCCCACCTCTTCACTGATCGCCACTAGGTCCTCTACCTCTCTGCTTCCTGAGCTTTTTCATACCTCATCTTAAAGCTATGTATGGTTCCTGCCTCCACTACTTCACTTGCTAGGCTATTCCACTTCCTGACGACTCTATGACTGAAGAAATACTTCCTAACATCCCTGTGACTCGTCTGAGTCTTCAGCTTCCAATTGTGACCCCTTGTTTCTGTGTCCCATCTCTGGAACAACCTGTCTGTGTCCACCTTACGTATTCCACGCAGTATTTTGTATGTCGTTATCATGTCTCCCCTGACCCTCCTGTCCTCCAATGTCGTCAGTCCGATTTCCCTCAACCTTTCTTCGTAGGACATACCCCTGACCTCCGGAACTAGCCTTGTTGCAAACCTTTGCACTTTCTCTAATTTCCTGGCGTGCTTGATCAGGTGTGGGTTCCAAACTGGTGCTTCATACTCGAGTATGGGCCTGTTGTACACAGTGTACGGTGTCTTGAACGATTCCTTACTAAGGTATCGGAACGCTATTCTCAGGTTTGCCAGGCGCCCATATGCAGCAGCAGTTATCTGGTTGATGTGTGCCTCCGGAGACGTGCTCGGCGTTATGGTCACCCGAAGATCTTTCTCCTTGAGCGAGGTTTGCAGTCTTTGGCCACCTAGCCTATACTCTGTCTGCGGTCCTCTTTGTCCTTCTCCGAACTTCATGACTTTGCATTTGGCAGGGTTGAATTCAAGAAGACAGTTGCTGGACCAGGTGTCTAGCCTGTCCAGGTCTCTTTGAAGTCCTGCCTGATCCTCATATGATTTAATTCTCCTCATTAACTTCACATCATCTGCGAGCAGCGACACTTCTGAGTCTATCCTTTCCATCATGTCATTCACATATACCAAAAATAGCACTGGTTCTAGGACCGACCCCTGTGGGACTCCGCTCGTCACAGGCGCACACTGTGATACCTTATCCCGTACCATGACTCGTTGTTGCCTCCCTGTCAGGTGTTCTCTGATCCATTGCAGTGCCCTTCCTGTTATACGCACCTGATCCTCTAGTTTCTGCACTAATCTCTTGTGAGGAACTGTGTCGAAAGCCTTCTTGCAGTCCAAGAAAATGCAATCAACCCACCCCTCTCTCTCATGTCTTACTTCTGTCTTCTGTAAGTGTGTGTGTGTGTGTGTGTGTGTGTGTGTGTGTGTGTGTGTGTGTGTGTGTGTAAGTAAGTAAGTAAGTAAGTTTATTCAGGTATACACAAATACAGTTACATAGAATTATCTTACATAGCAGCATATGTGTAGAGAGCCTGAGACAACTCAAAAAAGTCAGACAGAGTGACTTATTTCCATTTGGGTCCTTTTACCTTATTATTATAATATAAAGGTTATGATATCTTATTATTATTCTACAATGAAGATAACATCTTATTATCATACTAAAAAGACTATCTACTACACGAGGGTCATTAAGACTATCTACAATACGAGGGTCATTACTAGGAATAAGGTAAAATTTACACGTATGTTAGCTAAAAAATAGAAAATCATTTCCCTCCCTTTCTGTAGCTACATTCATCAGACACCTTTTGGCAGTCTTCTTGAACTGGTTCATGCTATGACTGGCTTTGACATGTGCGGGTAGTTTGTTCCAATCCTTTATTGCTGTACAATAAAAGGTGCTTGAAGCCTGGCCACTGACTGTGGGTACTGCAAAGTTGTGTTCTCTCCCCCTAGTACGATTGCTTTGGTTCCCAACCTTGACAAAATTGACAGCAAGATATTCTGGACACTGTTTGTGAGCAATTTTACAAACATGAGTTAGCTTCAGTTGTTTTACTCTGTCTTCAACATTCAGCATATCCAACTGCTGTAATTCATTCTGGCCTACATGCTCTCTTTGTCCCAGCCGCAGGATGAATCTTACGATTTTGTTCTGGGTGATTTGCAGTCTATATTTCAGTTTTTTTGTCAAGGCAGAGTACCAAGAAGAGCAAGCGTAATCCATATGGCATTGTATAAGGGCTAGACATAGGGTCCTGCGAGCCTCAGTAGGTAGACACTGTCCCTTGTCTATACAGGAACTCAGTCTGGCATTCGCTTTCTTTACTACACTGTTCCCTATCAATTCTCCTGATATGCATGGGTCAAAGGGGATTCCCAGATATTTTACAGATGAAACCAAAGTGATGGGCTCCCCATTACACTGGACATTAAAATTATTTGCCCCAAGGTGTAATGATAGTTTGTTGTCTACTAACCATTTGCTGCAGGACTCCAGTTCCAGTGTTAAAACATTAGCTATATCTTGTGGGTCTTTACCTGACACTAACAGAGCACTGCCATCTGCATACAGTAGGAGTTTGCACTTGACACTGATAGGAATGTTATTGACATAACATAAGAATAATAAGGGACCCAGAATACTACCTTGGGGAACTCCACATGCTATCGGCAGGGGTTCTGATTCCGTTTTGTTGATTTTATCAATTTGTCTCCTGTTGCTAAGGTAGGACTTAAACCAGTCTACAGAACATATACCGATAGCTTGAAGTTTCTTACATAATATATTGTGGTTGACAGTATCGATGGCTTTTTGTAGGTCTAAGGTTACCATACCTATGAGGTTGACCTTTGACATTTCAGTTCTCAGGGAATCCATTAGATTAATCAGGGAGGTGTCGGTTGAGTAAGATCTTCTAAAGCCCGATTGATAGCTATGGAGAATGTTGTTGTCATTAAGGTACTTAGCTGAGAGTACACCGCCCTCTCTAGAATTTGGGATATTATACTGAGTATACTAACAGGCCTATAGTTGCTTACATCAGACCTACTATTTTTCTTGAAGATAGGAGTAACTCTGGCCTCCTTGAACCCATCCGGTACGGTATTAGTGGTGATTGATAGGTTTATTATGTGAGCAATAGGGATTAACAGTTCAGAAGCACCATCTTTTAGGAACTTAGACGGGATGTTATCCGGGCGAGTGCTCTTAGTTGGGTTTAACCTGCTTAGTTCTTTTTGAATAAAGTCATGAGATACATTACTAGTTGACAACTGTTTGGGGTTACCCCTTTATTGGTATAGTATGTTTGAAACTTATCAGAGTCTGTGTTAAAGGTATTTGATGCAGCTGGTAGTTTACTTACTAGTGTTGGCAACAGATGTGTAGTAGGAATTAAAGCAATTTGCCACCTTAGATGCTTCGTGGCATACCTCATTATCGATAGTGAGTACTATGTTAGACCTATCTCTGGCTTATGCTATCCCCCCAACTATTTTAGTTGTTGCCAGAGCTTTCTGGGGTTATGCTTATACTCTTCAATTTTTGAGCAATAGTGCTTTGCCTTTGCTCCTTTTATAAGCCTCTGTACTCTGTTCCTCACCCTTTGGAATTTATTTAGTGCTGCAATATCCTGTCTGTTTGCTTTAAATCTTTTTAGCAGCTGGTCTCTGATTTCATATTATCTAATATCTCAGTAGTCATCCAGGGTTCAGTTCTTCGTTTAATCCAAAACCTCTTTAATTTGGTGCAATATTTTTAAGAATGGTAGTGAACATTGTTTTGAATTTTTCCCGGCATCGTTTACGTCCGTGCAACTTGTTATCTCTGTCCAGTCACAATTGTGTACCTATTTACCAGTGTTTCTTTACTGTATTTTCCCTAGTTGACCTCATTTTTATTGTCCTTGTGTAGGCCTATCCTATCCCTAGTGATTTTCCTTGTGCGGGTAAATGATGAAATGATCACTAAGACCTGTGGTAATGACGCCTGACTGACTAATGTTCTCAGAGCGGTTACAAAGTATGTGGTCAATTAGGGTGGCTGAGAACTGTGTGATCCGGGTTGGAGTATTAATTAGTTGAGTGTAACTTTTTTAATCCTAGAATTTGCTTATACCTTTTGCATACCCCGTTATTTTGCTGCTGAAAACAGATATTGAAGTCTCCCAGTATTATTGTCTCTTTAATTGTTTTCAAGTCCGGACAATACTCTGGAAAAGTCTTCTAAGAACTGGTCCTGGGTAGGAGGGCGGTAACTAGTTCCTACTAAGAGGGGTTTTTGGTCTTGGAAAGAGCACTTCAAACCATAGAATCTCCAGTTTATTGTTATTTAAATCAGGTCTTGGGTTGTAAGCTAAGTCATTTCTAATGAGGCACATACTCCACACCCTTTCTGTTCCCATCTAAGTGTTTTATATTTTAACCTTCTATTTTGACCTCGTCGTCAGTCACCGTATCAAACCAACAAGGAGTCAGAGATGTTATAACTGCCGCCCAATTTTGTTAGCTAGAATCCTAATCTCTGCCAATTTAGGAAGAAGTGATCTTGCGTTGACATGAATAAAGTGAAGGCCTGTTTTTCATAAAACAATTATAATCATCAATATATGGCAATGGGCCAAAAAGTATTAAAATTAGGGAAATCAATGTCCCTCACTGCTAAAGGGTAACTGTGCCAAAGTTTCATTTTTTTACACACAAAGTGAATTCTGGCACCGTTACTATAATTGTACATACATCCATCATGCACCCACCCCTCACACATTTTACATAAGGTGCCTTTTCTGTTTTTCATGCGTATTTAGTACAGTGTATGCACCTGTTTGGTAGTGTTTGAGATAATAATGGCTGTATTGTCTCACATTGACCTATGTATGCATTACATTTGGAGTTAAGGTTATCATTCCTAGCTACTAGACCGTCATTATCACCGTCATTTATCTGGCTGTTTTGCCTCTGCACAATAGTTTGAGGTCCTGGATTAATTTGGATATCACCACTTAAGAGCGCTACAATAAGACCTGTGTGCCACTGTTTTTGTTTGGGTAAGCGGTGTTGTCATACCTTGCTGCGATAGTGACATGGGTGTGTGTGCATGTGTACTCACCTATTTGTGGTTGCAGGGGTCGAGTCTTAG